CACGCAGTGCGCGCGTCCGTCAGCCAGTCCACGGCGCCGCGCGCGCACCGCGTGGGCCGCCGCCCTCGCGTCCGACCCCCACGCACACGCCCCGCGCGTCGACGAGGACGCCCTGCTCGCCCGCGACGGCGTCGCCCCCGGCTCCGGAGACGCCTGCGCGCCCGCGGAGGGCGCGAAGAGGAAGCCGTGCAAGGACTGCTCGTGCGGATTGGCCGACGTGTACGACAAGGAGGAGGAGGAAAGGAAGAAGACCGTGGATACGAAGGACGCCGCGAAGAGCTCGTGCGGCAACTGCTCGCTCGGCGACGCGTTCAGATGCGCGGGCTGCCCATATCTCGGCTTGCCCCCGTTTAAACCTGGCGAAAAGGTCGCTGTTCCCACGTCATTTATGACTTCGGATATTTGATTTCCCCTTGCTTCGCCTATAGTTTGCTCTTCTTTGAGCAACGCTTTTGGTCAACATCTTGACCTGTCGCGGCCTTCGTGTACATTCGCCCTTGCCTGGCCCATGCATCCCGCTGTCCCCCTCGCCGCACCTTTTGTACATCTTGCTGCCGTCTTGATGTCAGTAAAACTCTAACATATCCTACAATCCATTGCATCCCGCATGCTTGCCTGCCCTCCACCGCATTATCCCCCCGTTCCACGTCGTCCACCTGCAACAAATCCTGCAACAATCCGTTTGCATTTAGTCTCGATCGCTCACCGACGACCACCTCTCAGTCCACCGCCACGCGAGGAAGCACATTCTCCGCATGCCTTTCCAGCGCATGCTGCACCGCCGCATGCGCGTCATCCACCACCACATGAGCCGGGTCGCACTCATCGTTGTCGCCCTGAAAGTTACCCGTCCGCACCAAAACCGACACCCACGGCGCGCCCCGCAAATTCGCCCCTCTCACGTCCGACAACGGGTTATCGCCAACCGCATAGACGACGCTTAAATCGCTCTGCTCGCAAAAGCCCATGCGCCCCGCCTGCGTCCTGAGCACGTTCTCCGCCAGCTCGTAGTTGGGCGCGTGCGGCTTACCAAACTGCACGGCCCGCAGCTTGCGCTGCGCCACGCGCTCGTACACGGCCTCCAGCGCGACGCGGAACGACCCGCCGGCCAGTCGCGGGATGTGGAACTCATTGGGAAACGTCACGTCCGGGTTGGAGAAGAACACATCCACAGCCTGTTCTGCACAGGGCGTGCGCGCCGCCGAGCCATCCGACGACAAAATGTCCACGAGTAGCTGCATATCCCTCCCCCAGTCGGCCGAGTCCGCCATGACGAACACGGCCGCGACGCGCATGCGCGCAAGCTCCGCGTCGCGCGCCGACAGCGGCGCCAGATGGTCAAACGTGGCGAAGGGGGCTGTGGCAGGCACCGCCTGCGCCAGCGTCTCCACGGTGACGACTCTTTCGAAGCCGTACTCACGCGCGACGTGGGCGCATTCCGGGGGTCCGACAACGGCGACGACGGCGTCGCGGAGGGCGTTGTAGCGGTTGGCGTAGCCGCGCATGGGGGTGTGCGCGAGCACCACCTGGGATGCGCAGATGGGGAGGTCGAACTGGGCGGCGAGATGCGCGGCGCGGCGGCTTTCCGTGTGGCCGCCGCCGTTGGTCAGGAAGGCGACTGGGGCGCGCCAGCGATCGGCCGAGGGGTCGTAGAGAAGGTGCAGGGCGGAGCGGGCCGGCGGGAGCGAGCGGCCGCCGCGTTGAAGCACGCCGTCGATGTCGAAGGCGAAGGATGGGCCGCGGTAGCGCGTGGCCGCGGTGGAGAGAGAGCGGCGGAAGGCATGGCGGAGGAGGGCGGACCGCATGGCGCGGGTTTAGAGAGCATATGGGAGGGGAGGGCTGAAGGAGGACGGACACGTGAGGACGGACTGGTGAGGAAGGAGCAGAGAGATCGGCAGCAGATGCAAAAGCCACAGTTGCATTGGTGGAATCCTTGCAACTTTGCAGGGAAAGGGAAAGATTCGTCTATTCCACTTGGCGGTATTTCGTTCGCTGTATAATGCTGGGCGCAGTGTTGATTGGTTGCGCTTGCATTGTGAATTTTGACTAGATACCCCCAAGCTCAGTCGTCCCCCGACACGTCCCAATGCATATCCCACACCTGATTACTTCTATATAGTCTGAGCTGACCCCAGCCTGCTCCTCCTCCCCTTCCCACCTTGCCTTGGAATCAACTCGTTGCTAATCCGTGCCGCGAGCAGGCAGTCTTTCCAAACCCCGAAACAATTCCCTCGGGCCAAATGGCTTCCCCCGTGACCGTCGTCTCACCGAGTAGCGCCGCCACTGCCTCTCCTCCCGCTGGAGCACCTGCAGCCGCAGCCACCAAGCTGTCCCCTGTCGTCCGACCTTCCGTCAACAACTCCGTCGAACACCTCGTTGTCACTCTCACTGGAAAGGACTGCTACGGCGCTCTAAGCTCCGTCGTCTCTGCCGTTGCCAAAGCGCAGGCGACCCTCATTGACGTTCGCCAAACCGTGGTCCACGAGCGTCTAACCCTGGTGCTAGAAATCGAGCTCTGCACTTCGAACTCGCCCGCGTCGTCTCGCCTGTACCCCTCTATCATCTCTGCGGCGCGCTCGCTCGACCTAGCTATAGACTTCGATCTGATCACAGAGGCCTCGCCGGTGCGCGACAGCGCGCCGGTGAGCTACGTTGTGACGCTGCTCTCGGCGGTGTCGGTGAAGCCGACATTCTTGGCGTTGCTGGGGGCGGCGCTGGCGAAGCGGTCGTTCTCGACAGAGAAGATCTCGCGGCTGAGTGCGGACGGGCTGCGGTCGCTGGAGCTGGTGGTGTCGGCCAGCGGGCCGATCACGCCGACGATGGTGGGCGAAGTGCGGGCCGAGTTGTACGCGCTCGGGCGCGGCGCCGGCGTGGACGTGGCGTTCCAGGCAGAGTCGGTGCTGCGGCGGTCCAAGCGGCTGGTGGTCATGGACATGGACTCAACACTGATCCAGCAGGAGGTCATCGACGAGCTGGCCAGGCACGCCGGCGTGTACGAGCAGGTCAAGGAGATCACGCACCAGGCAATGGGCGGCAAGCTCGACTTCAACCAGAGCCTGCGCCAGCGCGTGGGGCTGCTCAAAGGGACGCCCGTGAGCGTGTTCGAGCAGGTGATCGCCAACCTGCAGTACACGCCGGGGGCCAAGGACCTCTGCCGCACGCTCAAGAAGCTCGGGTACCGGCTGGCGGTTATCTCTGGCGGGTTCACGCGCGTGACGGCGCACGTGCGCAACGAGCTGGAGCTGGACTACCACTACGCAAACGAGCTGGAGGAGGAGGACGGGGTGCTGACGGGGCGTACAGTCGGGGCCGTGGTGAACGGGCAGCGCAAGGCAGACCTCCTGGTGACGATCGCGCAGCAGGAGCGGATCACGCTGGACCAAGTGATCGCAATCGGGGACGGGGCCAACGACCTCGCCATGCTCGGCACGGCCGGGCTGGGCGTGGCGTTCAACGCAAAGCCCGCCGTGCAGGAGGCGGCCAAGTTCAGAATCAACCAGCCCAGCCTGATGGCCGTGCTGTACCTGCTCGGGCTGTCCGAGCAGGACCAGCGCGAGCTGATCGGCGGGGAGGAGGGCAGCGCGGCGGGAAAGCGCGGGTGGATACCGCGTGGGCGGATACCGCACGGTGAGAGGGAGGGCGTAGCGCAAGCGAAGTAGCGGGGAGAGATTGCATGGGCGGTTGTACAACAGGGTGAGGCGCAGACGAAGGCGGGGATGTGATGTGATGTAGGGGTTTTACAAAAAAATAAAGCGGGGATCCGCTACAGTTCCGACTTGACGAAGATGCCGATCTCCTTCTCGATGGCCTCGCGGGGGTCTGTGTCCTCGCGGTGCGGGGTCTCGACGTTGAGGAAGTCTGCGAAGTCGATGGTCTCGTCGGCGTGATCCAACAGGTCCAGAGCCAGGTTCGAGGACGGCAGCCCCGCGATGCGGCGAAACTGGGAGAGGTTGTGGCGCTGCATGGCGCGGCGGATAGGCAGGGCCGTGCCGAAGGCGGCAGCCTGCAGGCGGCGGCGCGTCGCAGCCTCGTGGCGCCTCGCGGAGGTCTCGATCTCGAGCACCGGGTGCAGCACGGACGTCTCGTACTTGAGCGTGGAGAAGGTGGTCGGGTCTGGCGATTGCAGCGGCGTGTCGCGGATGGGCTGCGCCATGGTTGCGGGTGGTGGATGAGTAGGAAATGGGGGCGGGGCGGCGGGGTAGGGAGGGGGGGGGGGGGGGGGAAAACGGGGGTTGGGGGGGGGGAA